TGTTTAGAAAACATATCTCTATAGTTTTTTTGAATGTAAACATTAATTAGATTAGTTCTGTAGAATAGTATTATTCCCCAGATAGTTTACTCGTCAGGCAGCAGGGAAGAGCGGGGCTGATATGAATTAATCTGATTGGCTCATTATAAATTCAAGGTCAATATATATATGTTATTTACCGGCCAGGAGGTCCGGATAGGGAAAAACTGTGCCCGAGGTCTTGAATATACGGACCGAGGCCGTTAGGCCGAGGTCCGTGTTCRAGACCGAGGGCACAGTTTTTTCCTATCCGGAYCGACTATAGGACGGTAAATAACTTATTTATTTTTTTCCCGTATTTTTTTTACTTGTTTTGGTAATCGTTTTGTTTTGTCGTTTAGCGGCAAAGGATACCGGACCGCGCGCGCGGGCAGATACTTACAAAATACCGCCCGCTCAAACAGCCAATCAGAACGCACGATTTTTTAGGATACCGGACCGGAAAAAAATAAATAGTTATAAACCGGGTTTATAACTATATATTGACCTTCGATTCATAATGAGCCAATCAGATTAATTCATATCAGCCCCGCTCTTCCCTGCTGCATTTCAATTCCCTCCCCGGGCTTTAAGTTTGTCCATTGTTTATGAGGGTTGTAATAAAAATAAAGCCTTAATAACAAAGAAAACCGTGTCAATTGATAACTAACACACATTTCACCCTTCGTAATCAGGAACCGGTCATTATTTATTGATTGGGGAAAGAGGATTTTCGGGTGGATCACATGGTAAATATGATCAGGTAAATATTGATAGGAATCAAAGGGGCATCACTCGGTAGCAACCACTAATAATGAAGGGGAGATCAGAAAAAATATAGACCCTCTTGGGGACTTTGGGGGGTGGGGTGGGGATGACCATGTTATCTTTATGATGTTGCCACAAAAACCTCGCGATCCCTCTGGGCATTGAATTAGTAATGACCGTTTCCAAAGTTGAAGTCTTAAAGAGAAAGAAACCTTCCCAGATGAGATCCCTAGTTTTCGGAGAGAAACAACGAGAGAAAAATATAAATTAAAAAAATGTGAAGAGAAATTTTGTTTGATTACGGTTGATTTTTCTATCGATTTTAGTCTGAATAAACTAATTGCTTTGTAGAATTTTTATTTGTTTTATTTCAAAATGAATTTTTCTCGGGAAGCAATAGAAAATAACGAGGAAAGAGAGATAGTTTAGGGAAAGTTAAAGAGGCGGCAAAGAATTAATGGATTTAAGATGGACATTCACTAAAAGTGGTTAGTGCGCCTGAAATGATGGTTGAGCTGTTATAATAAACACGCTTTTGAGTTGACCTTGGCTAGGTTAACGTTTAGTTGTAATTTATTTAAAGTGCCCCTCACCTGAACTCAATATCTTCAGAATTGATTCTATATGTAGGGAATAGTTGAATGGCATAATATTTGCATATGATTTGAGTGATGCATCTTGGCTATATCAAGGTTTATACTATATACCATATCAAGGCTTATACTTCCAATACAGTGGAACCCCGCCTTTGACGGCCACCCGCTTAATACGGCCACCCCGTTATTGCTGTCAGCTCTTTTGGGTCCCGACGAAATGCCCATACATTTACTGTAAAATGTACCTGCTTAATACGGCCACCCGTTATGATACGGCCAACGGCCACTTTTTTGTGGCCCGATTGACAAACTTCCATACTTTTTAACCCCGTATTACGGCCAGGACAAATAGGTTACAGTTTAGATCTTAATGTAAATACTGTAAAGCTATTGCTGCAAAATTTGTGATTCTTTTATTCATTCGGTTAACATTTTACATTAATGCTTTTTGTTGAATCAGAATCAACACAACAATAACTTCAAACAGAGAAACACGTATAGCGCGATTCGCTAAAGTACGTCTGCATTTATTTTATAGCTGTACAGTATTAAAACGAGCCATGCCGATAGCCTGTCTGGGGTTATATCCAGCCTCGAGTCAGTATGGCTTCAAAGGAAGCTTCATTCGTCTGTACAGAGCAAAGTCACTGCCTATTTTAAAAAGCAGTTGTTACTGTACTCAGTTTTCTCCGTTCTACTGTTATATCTACAGTCCTGTACTACTGTACAATTTAAAGTTTTAAAGTACTACTAAAGTTGAGTTATAACTGAGCTCCATTAGCATCAGAAGTTTTAGAAACATTATTTAAAAATACAATATGCATTATTGCACTTCAATTGTTTAGTAGTTTCGTACTGATTAATAAAACACGTTTTTATCATATTTTTGACAGCCCACTTAATACGGTCACCACGTTAATACGGCCACTTTTGAATGTCCCTTCGGTGGGCGGATTAACGTGGTTCCAGTGTATATTTATTAGAGTGACGTCAAAGGAGGTATTAGTAGATAAGCAAAACTTTTCTGGAGCAGCAAAATATCCCGTATCAAACCACATTGTCTTACTCAAGGTTTATAGAAGGGTTATTGCAAAGTATATTAACTCGTAGCTATCACTGTTTCAATTTACTACAAATGATGACAACTAACCTCAAATGCCTCCTATGACATGTCTTCTGTATATGACATGTCTTATTGCTTTCAAACTTTTCCTGTATAATCCTTGATCCATCCACTCGACCTATCTCTTCTGTTTACTGATCATGGACGGTAACATTAACGATGTCATGCACTTTTTGCAGCACAACAGCCGCTGTTTCTTGCTTATCGTTACTGCTTTGAATAGCTACTTTTTTCGGTTGAGGGAGAACCATGCTCTTCGAGAAAAGGCAAAGGTGTCGCGCATAGGTTTTTCTTACAGCTTCCCGTATCTTCGGCATTCGTACTGTCAATAGAAAAGGATCGAGGGCCGAGTTTAAGAGAACACACCTCCCAGAAAAATATATTCCAGAGGTTATCATACGCATAGCAAACTCGCTCAAGCAGTTATCACAGTTTTGAATGTAGGTTAAAACATGAACACCAATGACGAAAGGAAACGATGATAAACAAAATAGCACCAATACCATGGCTATAGTCACGATCAGCGAATGATCCCGCTCTATTCGTTTTTTCAACATAGTATCTTCCATTCTCTCATGCATGTTCAAAAAATATCTTCTTTGCTTCTTAAGACTTCTCAAGATCACAAGGTACACGGAAGTCAGAATGACAATTGGTATTGTTGCATGGCTGTGGCTATAGATCAGAATTACGATCCACTGTGGCAAACGAAAAGCCGGTAGAAGACAGATGAGAAACGAAAACAACCATATAAATACGATGAGGAGTCTAATTCTTTTTGCGGTGATACTACATCTGTATAGCAATGGCTTGACTACGGCTATCAAGCGAAGAACAGAAATTGACGTTATGGTCAAGTTATTGACGAACATCAGTAAACCTCCAAAAAGAAAAAGGCAGGAGTCGAGTGCTACACTATTTTTGCCAAAGACATCGATATAGGCATCGGCCGTGGTCAGCGAACCAACTACGAATCCCGTAAGAAAGTCTGAAAAGATCAAGTTAATGTAGAGAGGCAACGAAGGATTCCGAGGATCGTATTTTAGGTTTTTATAAAGAGCGTAAAGAAGAGCAAAGTTTCCAAAAGATATGATGAATGTGGCGATGAAGCAAAAAATTGTTGTGGCGATGAAAGCTGCTTGGAATATCTGGGGCTCGCTCTTCGTCGTATTCTGCATCTGCATGGACTTGTTTTGGAATCTTAACAAGATATCTCCCTTGTATCCGGCCTCTGTGGGTTTTTTCTCAATCCAGGACTATGATCAAGTTAGGTCAACACTGCTCGTAAATCCTAGTCCAGTTCAGTGGGAAGCCGAGAAGCAGGCAGGTGTTTCAATCCAGGATGCGGACCAGAAAGAGGGCGACGTTTATTTTATATTGCTCTTATACCAGATCTTCATCTTTTCTTAGAAACAATTGGACGGCAATTTGTTTTGAAAAAACTCGGGGGAAAAGGGATCAAACAAACAATAATAATGATAAGCTAGTTAAAAAAATGATCAAATATGTAGATATCATGCACGATAGCAAGAGGAACTGATCTGCTTAACCAATTCGATGTCACTAAGATAAATGTAGAAAAATCACGTGATTCAATCGCCCTATCTACTGCGGCTTGAAATAAATTTAGGCCGCACTGCCTCAAAGCGGAGCACGAGTACCTGTGTTGTTTTGCCTTGCGAGAACAAAGTTCAAAAACAGCGTGAAAACCAAAAACTTTATTTCGATCTGCTCAGTTTCAAACATCTGAAACTCGTTTAGATCAAACAACTAGTCGTGTTCTCACGTCACATACATACGTGTATCTTGTAAGAAAACAACTTATCTTACCAAATTCTGCCCCAAAAATGATAAAATGTGACTAGAAAATGCTAAATGAGTGAAGTATGACTTGGCTTTACGAAGGAGTTTGACCAACTTTATTCTTTGTGCGTGCGTTTGGCTTTTAAAAAAGAGAAAAACCTCATAGAACTGATTTTACAATAAAATCGACTGACGTTTTTTGAAAGCTTCACTGAACCATCAGAAAACTTATTCAATTCCTATTTCCTTTGTATAAGAAACAATTCCATAAAGCAAATAATACGTAAACATTTTCGTGAGTATGAATGTGTGGACACTGAAACGATAAACTTTACTTCATGTTTGACGTACATAAAACGTCATCGAGCACGACTAAATCTCCCAATAACCCCTTGCGGGGAGTAGGTCTCCACAGGGAGCCCAAAAGGCCGCTACAAATGTCCCGGGTGTTGATATAAGCCTTTTCATAGTTTAAGTATCGATTCCACTGCGCATGCGATTTTATCCCGAATTTCTCACTTTCTTTTGTCTAAACCTTCTTTTGTTCTTAATTAAACAAAAGAAGGTGAGAAATTCAGGATAAAATCGTATGCGCAGTGGAATCGATTCTTAAACTGTGAAAAGGCTTATTGTTCTGGTTCATTGGTTGGTCGTCCAGTCACGTAATGTATTGGCCGGGGTACGCAATAAGTTCTTCAGTGTAAACGGTTAAAAAGACGAGAAAAAAAGTTCTCTCTTGAAATAAAGTTTCATGGTCATTATAATAATAATTATCATCATCATTATTAAAGTTTGGAAACCAGGCTTTATCCTTCTGTATTTCAGTAGATATAGAGATATACTTATTTCAATAACGTTAGTCACCAGAAAAGCTACAAAGCTGAGACCAACAAGGATTATGGGTAGACATATTTTACATGTCACAGTAAGCGCTTGATAACTGTTGATGGACTTGAGATCTTTTACCAGTTACGAGTTCACCTCCTCTGAGCATCCTCAACTGCTGCAGTTTGTGTCAAGAAATATTTCCCATGATTCTCAGCGATCACAGCTTTCTAGGTTTTTGGTGACTAACTTTATTGAAATAAGTATATACAGCTATTTAAAAAAAGGTTGAATACTGAATACTGGACACTATATACATGTAAATAGTGCATTCCTAGACCAAAGGGCATTGTGGGTGTCGTTGATTTGAAATAGATTAACTCTACATGTAGTTGGTATATTGCTTCAGATGAAATACACTAAAAATAGAATAAATAATTATTATTAATCCTACTTTTAATGAATCTCGCTATGACCCACAATGCACTTCGGTCTTGGAATGTACTATTTAGTATGCAGCATTTAGTATTTCAACCTTTTTTGAAATAGCTGTATAAACGTAGACTTACTTATAACATGTTGGTATTCCATCTGAAACAATATGCATGCTAACTACATGTAGAGAGTTAATCTATTTCAAATTAACGAGACCCACAATGCCCTTTGGTCTTGGAATGCACTATTTAGTGTGCAGTATTCAGTATTCAACCTTTTTTAAATAGCTGTATAAACGTAGACTTACTTATAACATGTTGGTATATTCAATACTGCTTTTGGCTTCTAAAATGTGTTCTAAGGGAYCGCTCATTAGGAGGAGTATAGGAGGATTTTTTTGTTTGAATAGTTTTTGTTTGAATAGTTTTAATTAAATATTCGTGGTCATGTTGAGGGATTTCACGTCGATGCAAATGCACAAGTTCTCACTGTCTGGTTGGCTAACTAGTAAAAAAATAAGTTCAATGCGCCACGGTTAGGCGAGTCGTATTGATAGAAAGATTTAGAATCTCATTTACGGCAAATGTGAAACGTCAGTTGTTGAGTGAAAAGATTCTTTAAAATTAGTGAAAAGGAATCGCAAAA